TGGAGTGGTGGTGTAGTGGATAGAACAGCTCCTTGCCAATCAACAGGTCATGGGTTCAAATCCCACTTATGGATCCTTTGACTGTGGACTTTTCATGTGCTTCCATGGCTACACTCCAGTGATTTCAGCTTCCTCTCGCAGTTCAAAGATATGTATATTAGGTTACTTCGCAAGTGGTATGTACTTTTGTAGGCCTCAATTTATGTCTTCGTATACTATATTTTTTGATGTTTTTATTCCTTACGTTTTTTGATGTTTTTATGCCTTACTATACTATGACGTTTTTTGATGTTTTTATGCCTTACTATACTATGACGTTTTTTCATGTTTTTATGCCTCACTATACCATGACACTATTATGTCTACCTATATTATGACGTTTTTTGATGTTTTTATGCCTCATTGTAATATGACATTTTTTGACATTTTATGCCATAGTATACTATGACGTTTTTTGGTGTTTTTATGCCTTGCTATTCTATGACGTTTTTTCATGTTTTTATGCCTCACTATACCATGACACTATTATGTCTACCTATATTATGACGTTTTTTGATGTTTTTATGCCTCATTGTAATATGACATTTTTTGACATTTTATGCCATAGTATACTATGACGTTTTTTGGTGTTTTTATGCCTTGCTATTCTATGACGTTTTTTCATGTTTTTATGCCTCACTATACCATGACACTATTATGTCTACCTATATTATGACGTTTTTTGATGTTTTTATGCCTCATTGTAATATGACATTTTTTGACATTTTATGCCATAGTATACTATGACGTTTTTTGGTGTTTTTATGCCTTGCTATTCTATGACGTTTTTTCATGTTTTTATGCCTCACTATACCATGACACTATTATGTCTACCTATATTATGACGTTTTTTGATGTTTTTATGCCTCATTGTAATATGACATTTTTTGACATTTTATGCCATAGTATACTATGACGTTTTTTGATGCTTTTATGCCTTACTATACTATGATGTTTTTTCATGTTTTTATGCCTTGCTATACCATGACATTATTATGTCTTCATATATTATGACGTTTTTTGATGTTTTTATGCCTCATTGTAATATGACATTTTTTGACATTTTATGCCATAGTATGCTATGACGTTTTTTGATGTTTTTATGCCTTGCTATACTATGACGTTTTTTCATGTTTTTATGCCTCACTATACCATGACACTATTATGTCTACGTATATTATGACGTTTTTTGATGTTTTTATGCCTCATTGTAATATGTCATTTTTTGACATTTTATGCCATAGTATACTATGACGTTTTTTGGTGTTTTTATGCCTTGCTATTCTATGACGTTTTTTTCATGTTTTTATGCCTCACTATACCATGACACTATTATGTCTACCTATATTATGACGTTTTTTGATGTTTTTATGCCTCATTGTAATATGACATTTTTTGGCATTTTATGCCATACTACACTATGACGTTTTTATGCTTTAATATATTATGATATTTCATGCCTTTCTGTGTTTTGATGATTTTAATTCCCACGATTGCATCATATGTTGATGGGGTGGAGTGGTGGGGTAGTGGATAGAACAGCTCCTTGCCAATCAACAGGTCATGGGTTCAAATCCCACTTATGGATCCTTTGACTGTGGACTTTTCATGTGCTTCCATGGGTACACTCCAGTTATTTCAGCTTCCTCCCGCAGTTCAAAGATATGTACATTAGGTTACTTGGCAAGTGGAATTTAGTTTTGTAGGCCTCAATTTATGTCTTTGTATACTATATTTTTTGATGTTTTCATGCCTTACGTTTTTTGATGTTTTTATGCCTTACTATACTATGACGTTTTTTCATGTTTTCATGCCTCACTATACCATGACACTATTATGTCTACGTATATTATGACGTTTTTTGATGTTTTTATGCCTCATTGTAATATGACATTTTTTGACATTTTATGCCATAGTATACTATGACGTTTTTTGATGTTTTTATGCCTTGCTATTCTATGACGTTTTTTCATGTTTTTATGCCTCACTATACCATGACACTATTATGTCTACCTATATTATGACGTTTTTTGATGTTTTTATGCCTCATTGTAATATGACATTTTTTGACATTTTATGCC